ATCGGAACTAAACTAATCCCACGGTGGTTAGCGCAGTCGTCGCGTGATCCCTTCTTGAAGATCGGGACGATCATCGATTCACCGCAGGACAAAGGGATACACTCCTCCGTCCAAATGCTGCGAAGTAAGCTAGTAATTGAGTAACTAAGTAAGTAATTTCGGACATCCGTTTGGGGTAACCTGATCAGTTAAAGACGAAATACACTACCACAATGGAGACGCGGAAAGTGACAATCAGAAGCGCACAGAAAATGAGATGACGCACGTCTGTCCGTATGTGATACAGCGTAAACACTCAATAACCATCAATTAGGCTAGTTACGAGATCCTCCTCCAGGAAGTCAAATGTACTCCGAAGGGCTTGTCTTTAGCTCCACCGAGCACTATGGAAACGCCTCCGTGCTAAGGTGCAAATCTTTTGAGCTGCTTCCCATCCTGTCTTCAGAACCAAAGACTTACAAATACGCTACATCCTGAAGGCGAAATGGCACGACCGATTATTTAACAGGAAAACTCACCCGCACTGCTGTTTCATCAAAATGTATATGGCTGCAACACAGCCGGTTCCAATGGTTCGGACATGTTCTCCAGTGTTGAGCTACGAAACTCCCTCTGGAACGCACCTCATTCAAAACTGTGTTCGTGATGGCTGTTTCGGTGATCAGATGAGGGCCTGGATAACCGAAATTAAAGACACTAAGGAGTGCCTGGGTCTGAAAGTGGTGTATGGCTTTCGTTTTGCACCGACCGCGCCGATGAACGCCGCACATAGGCAGTAAGGTATCCGCGAAACTGAATCATGGGTTATCTGATAGGAGTAGCACGTGAGTGGGTAGAAGGCCGTTTGATAACCTACACTACTTGTGGCGCCCTTGCGTGAAGTCTTACTCTAGAGCTGTCGGAGTTGGCTCCTCCGCGTGCGAGACGTAGGGAGATTGTCTTTCACCACCATTGTGTTGCTAAGATGTCGGCTAAAGTGAAGTATCGACGAGGATCATCAAAGAACCTTCGAATCGGACAATCTTAGTCGGTCTCCGAGTGCCGCCTCACTACTAAGGCTTTCGCGGCTCGGACGAGTGTTGCGCATACCCATTAAACGACTGCCAATCTGTGCTATTTCTGCCAGCCAACACTAGCTGGAAGCAGCTATTAAGTAGACAACGAATAGATTTTTCCAAGGATGAATTCATTGACCTTAGATCTGACAGTTATACGACGCTCTAAGCCTCCAATGGTGAGCATCTGACTCCTACAAAACCATCTAGTAAATCGCATCTGAATTGTCTTTAGCGCCTCGGAGTCCCTCACCAGGAACGGGCTCAACGCTTATAGGCCATAGTGGACTTCACCGCGGCCGAATCGATAATAGTGACACCCGAAGTGTCCTACAAGCGCCACGACTAATAACAGCCTCAAGGCTTCCTTCACGGTGGTAAAACATTTCGCAGAAGTCCTCCGTTTTCTACGGCTAACTTAGTCCCCCTGAACACGTTCGATAGGAATCTCAAGTCGGGCAATAAGACTTGAAGATATTGGCAATAACGTCTGGCTACTTACGCTTATGAGCTCAGATGTAATCCCACTGTGCTTGGACTGTAGGAGTACGCGATCCTCCTCTTCGGGTTTCTGGATGACAGTCAGACTGAGGTAAAAATGGGGCGTCGGGGTCTTCATCTGGCAATATCGGTACGCTACGGTGAACAAAGGATTACTGCCTACATCGGCTTCTATGCGGAAATTTAGAACAGGTAAGCACCATCAGTGGGTAAACATAAGAGATGAATTAGGATATGAAAGTGCAAGAGTTCTATTCCCTAAGTAAGAAAATTAGGACATTGTTAGGCAAGAAAAAAACAAAGTACTTACAAGATAACAGCTTGGAACTGTGTGGCCATCAGGGCGGCCTGTTATTTACCTTACATCAATCATTCCAACTCTACCAATATTCATCCAATTTATGCATGAAGCTGATTCTGTCGTGTTGTCATCAGTGATTCCGGGAGTTTATTTCAGGTGTTCACTACGCAGTTTGTGAGCGATCGCGCGGGGATCGTGCATTTACCAGCTCTATTGATCGTTGTAGTACTTTTGCGTTGTCACTGACTGAAAAGTGGAGCACCTATATCCAGTACGCCCCTTGAACTCGTACGTTCCGATTAAGTCACCAAGTAGGCTTCACCTTGGCAGGGAGAACATATTAGAGCTTCAAAGATGAGTGTTTGATAGTCCTGTTCCCGAAGTTGCGCGCAGCGATTTGTGAATCAGCGTCGTGTAGTCCCTAAGATTTTTTTGTCTGGTATTATGTGCGGTGATCATGCTAGTATATTAAATCTGGTTTCACATTGAACATACAGGGAGGTACCACCCTTGAGTCGTGTGACATCGCAGCCTTAAGTGGCTGATAGTGCTTCAATTGCAAGATGTCACCAGCAGGTAGTGTTTTGATGTCCTTTGAGACTTCAAATTCATAGCCTCTCATTTCAGAAGTTCTCCGCATTTCGAGTGGTTTTGTTTTATATAGGAACATTAGTAGGTTTGTAAGGCTCGTCAGTCTACTTTCTGGCGTTATCAGGTTCCAATGTGTAATACGCTTCAAAAACTTTTTTATCTCTAGGGGGTGAATTCTTACTGTTTCTTATTCAAAATACCAGGTTACAACAAGATACGCTACGGGGAAATAGCAATACAGTATAGGATGTACATAGCAGTAAGACAAGATAACAAAAATTACTAGTCCCCACAATTAGTGTCCTTGGAAGCCAGAATCGAATTGATCATAACTTCTCTGAAACAGCAGCAGGCTACTGTTGGTATGGTTCAGTGCAAAATCATAGATCCAGCTGGACCACTTGCTTTGAGTTTGACCACGCATTGGTCTTGATGCAGTTCATTCGCCGACTCACTGACCAGCGAAGTCGGCTAGCTGATCGTCGCCTGTCTGTCCCAGCAGTTCGTGAACGCTGAGTTAAGGCTGATGCGTGACCTAAGTGCGCTTTAATGTGATGATGTAAATGAGCAGTGAGATCAGATTAAGCGAGCAATGCATTCCGCAGCGAATGTTGCTTGTGAGTCTGAACCTCAAGCCCGTCAGAGGCATTCGATATCTCGTGAATATGCTCTGATGGAGAAAAACGACAAATCCCAACTTGCCAGGAGGAAAACGGGATTAGCTAGCACCTGCAACATCAGCTCACGAAGAGCCTCGAGGACTGTGAGAACTGGTGGACAACAATAGCTAGTGAAAATGGAAGTAGCAGCTGCATCAACCAAAGGCTGTTTCAACTGATACGGGAGGCCGACAAGCTCGTTAGTGAAACAATCTGCGATGAAAAGGGGATGGGCAATTTACAATAGGGATCATTATTTATAGACAACATTAGATCAGCTTGATTGCTGGGCGAAATAACTCGAACAGTTCAACTAACTCGACACTAGCCAGATTACTTCGTCCGTAAATGAAGCTCCGTGGGCAGTGAAGTGCGATACTTCGGTAGAAGCAGAAATTCGAGCTGAAACGAGGATAAGCAGCAGGACCGGATGGGCTTCTTACCACTCTTCAAAATGAGTCGTGAAGACTCAACCACTGGTTGGTTGGGGACACTGAAGGATACGGCAGTGAACCGACATCAGTGGCGTTCTTATCATTTCTTATCAGACCAGAATGGTTGAAAAGGTTTGTATGCACAGTTCAATGGTGTACTCTGCGTCGACCATTGAGGTTATCTTTCTTTCCCATCCCTCAAAATAGACCCAACCAGTCTACCTCACGCATTACTATTAACTTTGTATGCATCACGAGTTTCTCGGCGATCTGTGAAGTTCGCTACACTGTATTTCACTGTACGATAATGCTACTGCTGATTTTCTTAAACAATTGTTGTTAACAGCATCGGTGAAGTGCTAATAGCTGTTAGTTTTTAGAAACTAGAATGAAAAACCTGACTTCATAAACCAACTAAAATAGCCCCTTTGGAATGTGGCCTTAAGGGTAAATGGGAATGGTGGTTTGGGGAAGACGTAGCCGCATCGTTCTGCGGGCACGATCCCCGTGCGGTTTGAATCACAACTACAAATCAAACAGCGTCGGGAACTTCGCAAAAACTTGGAAAACCAAAATTGAATAGACATCCATAAATGGTTACAATACCGGCTCCTTACATTGTTCGGTGCTGCAATCCGAACATTAACTTGACGACCTGCAAGCGAGCAGTCCCGTCGCATGAGAGCTTTCGCCAGGTCATCTTGAGTGGCGAAGTCCACAAAACAGAAGCCTCTCGATCCGCCTTCTCCGCTAACAAGATTGATATTCGTTATCTCCAAGGGTGCGAAAAATCTAACGAAAAAGTTAGGGAAACGGATGTGATACGTACTCGGCAACGTCAGCCTCAGTCGCGGAGTAGGCCATGTTGTGAACGAAAGCCCTGAACGGCTTTTCAGTTGGTAGTTTCGCAAGTTCGTCCTCTAGAAGATTGCCTTGGGAGAAAGTTGGGAGGTTGGCCCTGATCTTCTGAACTTCCTCTGCCTTCTCCTTGGTGAGTTTTAACTCTGCCAGAGTATCAGCAGGATCAACTTCAGCTATCTGGCAATCGATATCAAAAGAAAACAATTACCGTGTTGCTAGAATAAACGACGTCAACATCCACGGTCTTATTAAACCGATTCTTTTTACTTTTCTTCCCCATTTTTTCAGTTACAGTCACAAGAGAAGTGTCACAAGGTCACTGGGACAGCATGCACTAAAACCTCGATTCCGCCGCGGTTGAATCGATAATGGTGGAACCGAAGGCCTCTTGTTGGCGCTATGGCTAATTCTCATTAACTGCAAGATGAAAACATTTGCCGTAGAATTCCTCCTGATTCGGTGGGTTATTTGACCACCCTGGTGGCCTGAATGAGGTATTCAGTTCACGTCAGGTTGCACAGGGCTGATAGTGGCCACAGGCCAATCACGCGTCCAGAATTCCTTCGGTGGTATGCCCTCGAGTGTGCGTCCACCTCTGCGATTGATCGGTTTCTCCTTCTATCTTCAAACAGAGAGAAAGAGAGACTTTACTTCTCACCGTGTCGGCGAGAGACCTTTGTTGATGAAGCGTTCCACATTACGCAAAACAATTTACGCACCTAACATTCTATGTCAGGGAAAAGCTCCAACCAACTGGCGTCCAGAGCTTTTTCAAAGGCCTGGACACTTGACTACATCAACAGTTCCGATGGTATTTTATTCCAATAATCTACTACCCTATTAATAAAGAAATGTGCTCGTAAGTTCAGTCTAGAACGCTGTTTCATGAGTTTGAGCTCATGTCCACGCGTACTTTGGTGAGGGGCCTCAGTGAAGAAGGACCCAGGATCTAGACTGAGCAATTTTTTCTTAATCTTGAATACTTCGATGAGGTCTCCGCGCAATCTCCTTTTGTCTAGTGAAAATGACTGGGTGCGTATAACCTCTCTTTTATGTTTTTCCCCGCATACCCTCAACCATCCGTGTTGCTAGTCTCTGGACCTTCTCCAGACA